TCCCGGTTAAGCCGGGAGCCTACCGACTAAAACCCCACTGTTCCCTCATGCCACTGAGCACCGGGACGCGGGCACACTACGCGTATTCGTCGCGCGACCCGGTAGTGGATGGCCATGACGCCTCTTCTTCGACGGATTCCACTCAACGCACTTGGGACGGTGCGACCTCACTACCCTAACTGAGTGGCGGACTTCCCCTTAGTCCGCCACTCTAGGACTGCTAAGGAGGGATGAGGCGGGCATAAGCCCTTCTCCTTCCTCCTCTGCGGCGGCTTCGGTTGGGGTCCTGGCTGGACGCCTCCCTCAGCCTCTCCGCCTCCTCTTTTTGCGACATCACGTCCTCGCAATATGTCTGGACGGCCCTCCAGGCTCCGTCCGACCCCAACATCCTCCGAACCACCGTCGGCAGAGAAAGATCCGGGCCCACTATCGCCACCAGATCTCGCCTTTGCGACGCCCAGGCAGGGCACTCCGCCAGCGTGTGCTGAGCCGTGTCAGCGGGACAATCGGCGCAGTGGTGACATTGCGCGGACGGCTCCCTCCCAATCCGGCACAGGTAGCTGCCGAAACAACCATGTCCCGTCAGCACCTGTGCCAGACGGAAGGTTACCGCCCCGTGCTCCCTCCTCATCCATGCCACCAGAACTGGGCCGATTGCCCCAACTGTTCTGGCGCCAGCCCTCGGCTCGCGGAGGCGGCATTGCCAGCTGGCCACTGCCGCTCTGCGTCTGCTCCGGCGAAATCTGTCGACCTCAACCCTGAGGGGCACAGATCCGTCGGTTCGGGCTCGGTCCTCACGCCAAGCGTGAACCGCCGCCAGTACTTCCGCCTCTAACGCCCACGGCAGAGAACCGGCCAGGGCGCAGGCCGCCTCGTAAGAGACGGTCCGGTAACCTCGCACCACCCTTATCGCCATCGTTCTCTGCGGGCGGTGCAGTACATCGACCGTTCGCCTGTTTAGGGCGCCGCTCCAGATGGGCGCGCCGTATAGGGCCATCGAACCGAGGACGCCCATAAACAGGCGTCGGCACGCCGCCTTGGGGCCTCCGACGTTAGGCAGCAGGCTGCCGAGAGCCGCAGCCGTCCGCAGAAGTTTAGGGCCTAACTGCCGGAAGTGAGCCTCGAAACTCCATCGACCATCCAGGACAAGACCCAGGTACCTCATTTGAGGCTCGATCCGGATGTCGATTCCGCCCACCGTGATGCGCAACCCTGCGGGAGGTCTCCTCCGAGGGCCATGGAAGAAGAGGGCCTCCGACTTCTGTAGGGCAACCTCGAGCCCTAGGGCCCGAATCCTCCCCACGACCTGGGCTACTCCCGCCGTCGCGAGGATTGCGCATTCACGATGTGTTGCCCCACTCGCCGTCACAAGCGTGTCATCGGCGTAACACGTCACGTCGACACCGCGTATGAGAGAGCC